CCATCTTAAACAAATGAACATGTGGATAAGTAGGTTTTCTTGCAGACTGATCTTCCCTCGAGTTCCCCTTAGCTCGTGCAATACTCGAGATAGAGAATTATTAACTTAAATTAGACACGATAATGTAGATATAAATAAAAGAATAGATTCAATAACCCAATTAAAATTAGATTAGAAATATATGGACATGGTTAATTCTCTAGACTCGTGTGGAGAAAGTTGGAGTTGTAAAGATGCATCAAACACTTTTAGTGGAGAAAATGTAATTATTAACTTTTTGTTGAAAATTGAATAACCTAATTCTATGATTTTTGACCGGTATATTTGCCAACTACATTCTCGTACGTGAAAAACAGTAGTTTCTTAACTATTAATAATTTTTTTTTAAATTCTTACTTTTAATCTATTCTATTGTTTATAAATATGTTATGTTCTCCAAAATATATGTATCCTAATATCATAAAAAACAGATTTTTTTTCACTAAGGGTGCGTTTGATTACCAATATTTTCCATGAAAAATGTATTTTTTCTACTTAAATTTCCATTTTTGTGTTGTTTGATTGTCATTTTTTTATATGAAAAATATTTTCTTATTTTTGATCACGTCTATGTTTTCTTCAAAATCAAGGAAAATATTTTTTTTAGGCGGAGTAGAATTTTATTTCCAAAAAATTCACTCTCTTTCTCATCTATCCACCAATAAAAAATGGACAAGTATAATATCAGAAATACAAATTACAAAATACGGCGAAGTAAACTACAAAATGGACTTGAGTAGAACATAAAAATTGCTCGAATTGAGCAATGGTATAGAAAGGAAAGATGAGCGAGAAATAGAATGATCAATTTTGCAATTGAGATGTCCATCTTCTAATTGCATTTAGACAAAATTGCTAAAATTGTTGGTTTTTATTAGACCAATTGTTACACCACTCATCGACACCTCATTGGTCATAAAATTACCCCGTTGGCCGTTGCAATTGGAAGATTTAAATGAAGAATCGTGCTTGAGCCTATCGAGCACTCACAACATGGGGGTAGGTGGGGGTTTTGGACAACCTTTTATGTAGGTACGAACCACCTGCCGTGAGGGTCGGCAAGGGTGAACCCCTTTCCTGGTAACACAACAAAATCCTAAAATGAAATAACTACATATATACCGCAAAACTTTTCCATTTGGCTCTACTTTCACGTGAGAAAATGAAAGGATATTTACTTATCAATTAGCAAAATATTGAAAACATATCAATGTCACTGAGGCTGCTACTTTTCACCACATTGTGTTGTGTGCCTTCTACTTTGGCGCCTTGGAATCCATATAATAAGGTTTGATTCCTAAATATGCTCAAACCAACCCTAAAACATTCAATAAAATAGAAAAAAGTTTGCTTTCAGACATGATTTTTTATATTTTGCTTAGAGGGAACTAAACATAATGCCCTGATACTTTTTCTTTTCTTTGCCTTCTTCACGCGTAAATTCATCCTTTGAAGCTCAGAATCTGAATTCAATCCCGACTATAAATACGCGGTATTGTAGTTCATCACACATCATCGAAGCCAAACAAGCACTCTACAAAAGTTCCATCCACCAAAACTACTCAAGTATATGGAGCATCATCAAACCGCTGGTTCAAATGGAAGAAGCTATCAAAATAATAATGATCGCAGAGAGAAAGACGACAAGAGAAAAGGAATGGTGAGGCAGGAGGATGTAAACAAAATGGCTGATGAATTTATCAACAACTTCAGGAAGCAGCTCAGATTCGAAAGAGAAGAGTCACTCAAAAGATATCATCAAATGCTAGCCAGGGGAACCTAAATCAGAATCCATGTTTAAATAAACTTGTACCAATAACCTATTCTCAAGCTTTTCTTGTAATCAAATCTAGAGTATGCTTAAGATAATCCATGTTTGAATAATCTTGTGCTGATAACCTATTCTCGAGCTTTTCTTGTGATCAAATCTAGAGTTTGCTAAAGATAATCCATGTTTGAATAATCTTGTACTGATAACCTATTCTCGATCTTTTCTTGTAATCAAGATATGTGAGATATTATCAGGATCATGTTGCGATTATCTTAAGCATGCTCTAGATGGATTAGGTCTTTTTCTGCTTCTGCTTTTTGTTGAAAACTGTTCTAATTAGATAAAACACTTCCAGAAGATTATATCATTTTCCGACTTGTGAAACCTCGAATGTGCATACAAGACATCGGTAGGTGGAAGTTGGACTAAATGCTGAGGAGTTTTCAAAAGGCTGTCAATAAAATCTAACCTAATTGACCATAAGGGTCCATTTGATTGTAAATATGAAATTTGGATGGAAAAAAACGAATTTTAAAGGAATTGAATTGTCTAAAAATTGTTTTACTGAGAATTGTCAATTATTTTGTTTGATTAGTATAATTTTCCACCCGAAAAATATTGAAATAAAAGTGTCTTTTCTTCTTCGTTTGGCTTTATTTTTCATGAAAATTGTCAATTTAAATGATATTCTCTTTTACAATTGTTCCTAGAATTTGTTTCCATTACAAAAAAATGAAAATAAAAATAGAAAAATCCAAAAATCATCCATCTTTTGACGTTCGTTTGGCTTTATTTTATATGAAAATTGTCAATTTAAAGAATATTCTTTTTTACAATTGTTCCTAGAATTTGTTCAATTGCACAAAGCCATGAAAACCAAGAAAATGTTGACGTGACGGCCAAAGTGGGAAAATCAATTCCCTAGAAAATTTGATCAATTAAATAGACCAAAAGTGAAAGTTGGAATTTATTTTCCATTTTCCATGAAAAAAATTGGGCTATCAAACATAGCCTACAAGAAAAGCCATTTGGACAGGCTTGGAAACAGGCCCAAAAACAGGGCGACCACATGGCGGCCCCTATTGGAGAGGGGGGCTGCCCAAGAAGCAGGGTTGTTGACAATGATTCAACATTCCACAACAATGCATTTGACAGTTTGTTTCAACCCAATTTTCCACTACCTCAATATTTGATTTAGAAAAAATAAAACAGTAGTTCAATATTCTCAACGTTCAAATGCCACTTGTATTCACAAAAGATCTTCAAGACTACAAACTACCAATAACCCATAAGAAACAAACAGCTAAGTAGCCAATCAACAAACATGTACAATATATTTGCTCCCTCTTTTGAATAAAAATATAACCTGACCTCATATTTCTGTTCTGTTCTGTGTTTCATGCTCCATTCAGAATTCCATGTTTACCTAATGAAAAAGGTTGAAATAATCGTCAATTTCCAGATCAAACTTCATCTGCAAGCTGATGATGAAGGTTCATTGTTTCCCTATATTCAAGACTCCTGAATGTTCTATTTTCCAAATGTTGCATATCGTCACTCATTCAACCTCCACATAAAATATAGACTTAAAAAGGTAAACCAATAAAGGCAAGTATAGAATTAAAAAGTGCAGAAACCAAAATTGATAATCTGAAACAACAAATGTATTCAAATGGAGAGAGTGAAACGCAACTTAACAAAATCCTGAACGACAGGGAGGCCTATCTTATGCTTGAAGAACCTGACAGTGCACGATGTGACTCTTTAATCCACTTCGCCCAGCTATACTTGACCATAAATTTGTGAAGAGTGATCTCGAATGACCTTTACTGGCAATATTTTCCCAAACATTAGGATTGGTCTCCACTCTTCTGTCAGGGTTTGAGACATCAACCATACTGATGCTCATATTATTACGGATTATACAGAGCTTATCGTTCAAAGGAACAAGGGCAGCAGCCTCTAAAGCACGAGAATTGCCAAGGTGGAGCTTGCTATCAATAAATCTGTTCCAAGAATTTGTGGCTTCATTAAATACTCTAAGCTTACAACCATCACGACAGTCCAGAGCATACAGCTTCCCGTTCATAGAGATACTTGGGTTGCGCCACCCAGCAACCATCCCATCATCGACCGTAGTCCAAGTATTGGTTTCTGGGATATATGCTTCACTCAAAACCTCTCTGTGTGATCCAAGTCCTTTTAGGTACCACTTGCCATCATAAACTACCCCGATAAATGGAACCATAGCCGTGCTCATATCAGCGACCAAACTCCAGCGGTTTCTGTTGGGATCATAAACTTCAGCTGAACGAAGTGTCCTCTGGATACCTTCACATTCTCCCCCAGCAATGTAGAGACAGTTATTAATGACACAAGAACCAAAGAAATGCCGTTTACGAAGCATGTCTGGTGCTCTGCGCCATTTATTTGTCCTAGCACTGTAAAAGATCACGCGCCTCATAGATCCCTTTAATGGATCTTTTCCTCCAAACAAGTACAGGTGGCAACCACTTACAACAGCACTGCCAAATCCAAGTGCCGAACTATACTCCACTGGCACAGGTGGAAGTGGCTGCCACATTTGGTAGGTTGGGTCAAAAGCATGCCATGATATCCGTCCATCACGATCTCTCTTTATGACATATACCCATTCTTCAGCCATGCCAAGACTTTTTCTGAGAGAGTAAAAGAAGTTTCCAGCCAGGAGCTTGTTCCATCTCTTGCAAACTAGACGCAACTTATTATGTTCAACACGAGGCACTCGAATGAGGCAAGCAATTGCAAGATCATCAGGAAGACCAGGCAGAAGCGGTGTGATTAAAAATGAATTTTAAAAAAATAAATTTTAAAAATAGCCAAAAAAATAAAAAAAAAAAAAAAAAAAAAAAAAAAAAAAGAAAAGAAAAAAAAGTCTCCTTTTATTTTAAGTTTCAGTTATATCATATATCTTTTCTTGAAAATTCAATGCTCATTTTTCCCGCTGACAGAATTATGTAAGACATCTTTAGTGTTCCAATTAGTTTACTAATGTCGCAAATAGAATTTGCACATAACAAAGACACCTGGACAAACACCCAAGTCATACAACATAACTTTTGGAGGGTTGCGCTTAAAGGGATGAGTTGGTGGAGTCTTGAACCTCTCAAACAACAAGACAAGAAGTTGAGTATCTTCAAAAGGCTCAAACGTTATGGAAAAAAAGTGAAGGGAAAGTCAGAAATATTTTATTGCATTGTTGTGTTTTTTTTTGTTTTTTTTCACTGTATTCACTGTCTACAATAATTTGAAAATGGGATGTTATTAGCATGCTGCCTATCTACTGCTAGGCAACTGTGGCAGAGCATAGAAACCAATCAATACAGTTTAAACAGGTAAAATAAACCTCTGTCAATTCATTTAAGGATGTTATGAGTCTATGACAGTAGGACGTCAATTATGTCTACATTGAATTTACAAATGTTCAGAAGCGTAAATACTGACAACTGCCTCAGCTCTGGAAATTAGAAATGACACTCAAATAACTCAAACAAGAAAAACGGTTGTCTTTTATGTTCATCTATCTCATCCACATTTTTCAAAATCTCATCAAATAAATCAGGGGCCAAACTCCCATTTTCTGTTCTTGGTTATACAATTAAGGGGTTGTTTGACAAAGTTTTTGATAAAGTTTTAGCAGATTTTGATAAAAATTGATAAAATGTGTGGTTGAAAAGTTTATAAAAGTTGTAGGTTTCATAAAATGTGTAGTCATTGAAGTTCAACCCCGTTGAAAAGGATAAAATTTTAGCCAAGTTTTATCAAACAAGCACTAAGAACCATCTTTGCTATGTTTGAGGTGATCCTAGGTGCTATGAAAATTGATGGCTTGTTTGCAAGGAAGAAAGGTTCCAGTAGCAACTAGCAGCCCCACTTATATCCAATGTGTTGTGCCTGAAATAGAAGTTTGGAGAGATTTTGTACGAGCTGATGCTGTTCAACAATGCATTTTGGGGCTGTAGATATGCATGGAAAAAGTTGAACTCTTCATATGGAAAGACTGCCAATTTATGAATCTTTTGAAGACAGTCAAAATTAAAGAGATAATGAAAGCAAGCGCTAGAATGACTTTAAACAAGTGAAGGGTACCTAGAGAAATTTGAAAACCTAGCAATTTCATCATGAGCATCATCACAGTAAAAAGTACATTTCAAGATAGACCAAGCTATCAATAGAAGGCTAAATATACAAAGAAGTTTTAGATCAATATTGTTAACAATAAAAAGAGAGTATGAATCATGCGCATTAAACACAACAAATAACTCTTCTTTTTGTGTTTAAGCTTTCTAATTTTCCCAGAAATAAGACCTAACAAATCAAAAAGGGAAACCCGCAGAAAATTTCCAATTCTAGATTGTCAAAAAGCCTTCGACCAATTCGGCAGGAAATAGACACCGCACACCAATGACGATTGCCCACCCACCCTGCTCCCAGAGTCCCACATCATCCGAGCACGAATCTTATTGCTAAGTGAAGTTATAGCCGTACTAACCAATTGCCCTAACATGACATTCTCCAAAAAAGCGAACTTAAAGAAAAGGAGAAAAAAAAAAAAAAAAAGAATGTGAAGTTTTTAATTTATTTTGATTAATTATATTTCAAGAAAGGGGCCATTTCTAAAGATTCATACAACCTACAAACAGTCCGTCTGAACTGAAAATTGAGTAGACAAAATTATTGATAACTCGAAGTCAAAATATATGGGAGATTTCACCATCACCGTACAATTCAGCTGGGTATTTTCAACATTCATGAACATAACAAATACCCACAAAACAAATTCATCAAAAATCTTCCATAAAGACTACAATTTTACAGAAATATTCAACAGGGCATCTCAAAAAACACAGAAATTCAAGAAATTATCCGCTGAAAAAGCCAAAGATTCAATTAGGATTTACCAGTGGAGCTTTAACTCTAAAACCCCTGTGTGCATTTGGTGACCTCTCAATTATTTGCTCCATAATAACATCAAATCCTGCGCGTAATTTCAAAGAGTCGGATCCAATACTCTCCAAAGAAAAATCTTGAAAATGAAAGGCCCAAAAGGGAGCTTTTTAGACCCTCTTTCTTAAACTCAGCAAAGGCAAAAACAAGAATACAAAGAGCAGATTTTATGCCTAAAAGTTAGAACTACAATTACTTTCTCTCTTCATAACACAAAAATTAACATTACTTACATATGCAAAATGCTTGATTTGTTCCTCCGACTAAAAAGGGTAACTGAAGATTACAGCTGGTCCCATTGTCTTCAGTTTTCACCAAACTTGGATTTGCTCTGCATAACTACAATTATACATTATTATGACTTATAGAAGAGGAAATATTAATTTAAATATCTGCATTCATTAATGAGGGAGGCCGAGGGGGATGAGGTTGTTGATTTTTCCTTTGCTGCATTTAAAATTAGAAATTGGTCGGTTACAAACCATGGAACATCCGAAATAAATAATGCTGGTTTGCAGATCATTTAAAAAGTATTTTTTTAATATATAATTAAAAAATATGAAAAAGTCATATGGCAATGGTAAAAAATGATTCTATTTTGAAGAATTTAAAATGAGTAAAAAAACAAATAATTTTCCAACGATTGCTTTTAAACGAGGGCATAATAAGTTATGATTGCAACTTCGAGCGTGACATGCTCCCATAATGATATTGTATAAAGTTTTTGAATGAATTTGTCGTTGATTACTAGTAATCCAACTTCATATAAACAACTTGCACCCACCAATTCAAATCGAGGATAGAATTTTTGAATTAGTTAACTTTCATATGGTCATGATCAATTGTTCCGGTCATCCTACGTAATTTGGTTAAGTTAAAAATTAGTTATTTGAAAAAACAATTAAGATTTACTTTTTATGGAAGTATTTGGTCATATTCAAAAAAAAAAAAAACCTTCTATTATTACCTTGATGCAAAATAAAGTAAAAAGTAATTATTACCTATTTTTTAACTTAACTAATGTGGATAGAGACTTACTTTACTATTATTTTAGGCATTAGTGTTGACTCATTCTTATTTAAATTGAATTTTGACATTGGTTGGTTGTAGTGTTAAGATTTTTTTATTTTTTTTTTAAACAATTGTCATGGGAATTTAAAAATAAACCACATAAACTGTAGAATCATATTCAATTGTTGACTTTTTCATATATATATATATATTCTCTGATACGACTAGTTTTAGATTTTTAAAAGTTCAATTTCTAGGATTGATTTCATAGTGTGAATGTAAGAATTTTAATTGCAATTGAAATGTCTCACTCTTTGCTTATTTTCACACTTATTTTTGCCGTCACATTCTTATCTTAAACATTCTATTAATTAGCATATTTTATATATAATGATAATTTTCAATCAAAAAAATTGTCAAGAGAGTGTAAGAAGACTTATTTGCCTTTTATATTCTCAAATGAGTAAAAAAAGGGACAAATAAAAAATTTCGACATAATATTTGCTCATCTTTTCAAAATACACTAATAGAATATTTTGAGGCTTTCATTGCAATTAATTAGTGTAGTTAATGAAAATTTGTGACTTGAATATAATTAGTTGTCCAAATATTCTTTTAGTGTTTGAAATGACAAAATTGTCCTTAAATAAATAAAGGGAAAAAAAAAAACCCAAACCCAAACCCAAACCCAAGAAAATGAAGTGAAATTAGCAAATTTAAGTATGCTAATTAACGTAATGTTAATGATAAGAATGTGATCATAAAAATGGTGAGACATACATGTAATAATACGCAAAGTTTGACAACCTTTAATGCAATTAATCCTTATGTTTGTATGGTGGGACAAAATGAAATTGTAATAGCATATCTACTCATGTTTTAAGAATAATGTTATTTCACACCAATTTAAATGACATTAAGCCTTCGTTTGTTAGTAATTTTTTACTCCAAAAAAATATTTTTTTATCGTTATTAAAGCTGGGCAAATTTTTCGAATCGAATCGAACCGATCGAACCGAACTCGAATCGAATCGAATCGAATCGGACGGTTCTTGTCAAATTAAATACCCGAACGGATATCTAAATTGAGAGCCGACAGGTATGGTTCGGTTCTCGGTTCTAGACCAAGAACCGAAAAATCGAATAAGAACCCAATCTTTCTAATTTTTTTATTTAATTTTAATTTTTTTCTAAACAAATTAACAATTTCTAAATCCAAATTTTTGGCCAAATAATTTGTTTCATTTCTAATTTTTTAATTTTTGGCCCAAATACCCCTTTTATTGTCTCATTTCTTAGCCCAACAAGATCCAACCCACTAAATAACCCTAAATACCTACACTAAAATGCATAACGTTGTCTCGACTCTCACAGTCTCGCTGACATTCCAAAATCTATACAATCGTCGATCGACACTGTGACCTCCGCCAATCGAAATTTTGATTGTAGTGATCATTTGAATAAGGTAGTCTACGAGTCTTTGATATTTCAAAACCATTGAATGTGTCATTAGTTGTATTTATATAATATTGTTATAAATGTTAAAAAATTTAATTATAGTACAGAACGGAACAGAACCGAACTGAACCGTACGGAATCGAACCCGAACGGTTCCATAATTATATTTAGACCCAACGGTTCCATTTACTAAATATCCGAAAATCTTGGTTCGGTTCGGTTCTAACCATGCCGACCCCTAATTGTTATATCACTATTTCAATCATCATTTTTGACTTTTTTACTCACAAATGAAATTTGTTTTTCTCTCTAACGATCAAAAAAATCAATTCTTATAATCACTACCGAACAGGTTCTAAGAACGCTAAGCGCCATTTTTGCTATTATATATCCTTACTTTTTTTTCTTTCTTTTATTTTGGCTTTTCTAATCTATAAGAAAATAAAAATGGAAAAATGCAATAATAATTAAAGGCAGAGATCTATTTATTATTTCCTTAGCCTGTAGGGTTCCTTTAGGATTCTATAACCGTACAAGCCTGACTATTTAATTGCCCATTCGATAGGCAACCTTATATATTAATTTGATAGAGACTAATCCTCCTCTTCCTCCGTACATGCCTCTACTTAAGATGTTACCTTAAAATGTTACTTATTTGTAAATAATATTTTAAGAAGATCCATTGATGTTAGATGATGGTGAAAAAAAATTGTGCGTAAATGCCATTAGATATGCTTATCATATTATGCATTAAATATAATTTGATCAGTCAAATCAAACCTCTAGTAATTTATCAGTTATGTCAGAGCTGGTCTTATAATAAGTTTTTCGAAAAATAATTTTTAGAGAATGAATGATTAAAAAGTAAATATAATAATAATAATAATAATAATGAATTCATCTATAAAATTATTTTATTAAAATAATATGTGATTGGAAATAAATTTGAAAGATCTATACCAAGCATGAGCTCAATTTCTTTCATATAATGGTGGAGGGACAAATTGTTACAACTGATTTACTCCAAACTTATCTAAATTTTATTATTTACGTCTATTCTACTAAATAAGTCATGAACTTGAAGTTAGTTGTTGTTGTTAAATGTGATTTTACATTTATTCAAGCCATTATATGTGGGCATTTCGGATTGCTTATATTGATTGTATACTTAATTTTGTTTATTTATGATTAATTTAGAAGAAAACTTGAATTGGAAAAGTTTGAATGAAATTGGATTGTACCTGCACAAAATCTTGAACTTGGGACCAATGCATTAAGTTTTGAAGTTGAATGACTTACTTTGAAATTAAAAGGGACGTGGAACGAACAAGATGTTGGAGTTGAGTACTAAAGTGAACACTTTAGAAGATGTTTTGACCCTTGTGGTAATTTGTGACCTGGATATATTTAATTAATAAAATAATTAATTAATTTAATCATAAATAAAATTTAATAAAATTTTGAAACTTGTTTTCTTGATTTTGAAATGTGTGATACTTAAACTTTTACTCATGCAATTTTCCCTTTTAATTATCATTAAAATCCCCACTCTTTGCCCATTTTCAAACTTATTTTTGCAGTCACATTCTTATCCTAAACATTCTATTAATTAACATATCTTATCAATAATGATAATTTTTGATCAAAAAATTTGTCAAGATAGTGTAAGAAGACTTAATTGCCTTTTACATTCTTAAATGAGTAAAAAAAAAA